GAATGTAAAGTAAGGAAAGTTAATTTCCCATATTTGATTTATTAGTTAAAAAATAATATTCCTAAAAAATATCGTTGTTTCCTATGAAATTGTTCCCACGAGATTGGTAAGAATCTTACTTTTCCGAGTGAAATGAAAATTTTTATTATGATAAAAATATCATATTGCCTTTATTTATTTATTTGTCTATTTTATGCAGTAAAAAAATTATTTTTAAAAATTATTTATAAATATTCTTAAAAACTATTATGATTAATTAAATGAATTTTAATCATTCGTAGAAATTATGATTATTGAAATTTACAATTTTCAAAAATCATGATTTTGGGATACAAATTTTTTTCTTGAAATTTACAATTTTTAGAAATCATGATTCCAAGACACGAAATTCAAACAACATGACTAAAAAGTGAATATTATTATTACTATTATTTCTATTTATAACAAGTAATTTAGAGTAATAGCTTATTCTAGGGGTGTTCAAAATCAAACTAACCTAAACAAAAAATCACAAATCAATAAAAAAAATGAAAACGGGTGGAAAATCACAAATTAACAGGTCAATTCAATTTTTAAATTTGCTAAACTACGTAGTTTGGTCTGATTTTCGGATTGGAATGTGAAACCACTTAGACCAAATCACGTTGCACTTATATATAAATATATTTTTTCTAAATGCATAGTATATGTATAAAAATTGATACATCACATAAAAGGTGTTTTATAAAATTGCAAGTTACTAAAATATGTTTTTCTCACAAAAAATACGTTATAATATTTGAACAATATTTTGTAAAATTATAAGTTATCACACTAAAGTTTAGAATGAAAAATTATGAATTATTTATAATGTTTGAAAATAATTTTTTTAAGCGACAAACAATATATATGAGAAAATATTTAATATGATAATGAAAATTATATTGAAAAAATATTTTTACTAAAATAATAAGATAAAAATTGGTGTTATATGCCTTAAGTGATCAAAAATATTTTGGTATTTATATACTTCTATTTTTTTTTGACATACAATCTTAAATAAATAACATTATATTATATATTTGTAGTTGATTGTTAAATAACTAATTTGAAGAACCACAAAAACCAAACCAAACTAAATCGTAAAAAATTGGCTTGGTTTGATTCGAATCTCATAATTTATTCAATCGAATCACATTTAGTTTTGGCTAAAATCCTAATTTAGTCCCTTATAATATTATTTTGTTTCAATTTAGTCCCATTTTAATTTTTTGTTTCAATTTGGTCCCTAATAATTTAAATTAGTGCAATGTCGGACTTCTATCCAAATTATTTGAACGGAGTTAACTGTTGGTCACGTGGATGCCACATGGATGCATATGTAGATGCCAAATTTATTTAATGCATCTGGAACCAGAACGGCCCGTTCTGAAACCAGAACGTCCCGTTCTGGTTGCACTCTTGGTGTGTTAATTTTACACCTAGAACGGGCTATTCCAGATGCAAAATTAACACACTAATAGTGCAACCAGAACGGGCCGTTCTGGTTTCAGAACGAGTCGTTCTGGTTCCAGAATGCCAAACACAAACAGTCGATGATTATAGTTCACAATTGTGAATCGTGCAAGGAAAAAGACCCAAGGTACAAAGTATTTCAAACACTAGATTTGGTAATATTGTCAATGGGAATTGATAACTTCAATTGCTAAACATTTGGGCTATACAGTGTATCATTAAGGACAATGCAGTGTATCACTAAGGACAATGATAGTAGGTTTTATTTCATTGTTAGTCAAACTGGAGTGAACCATTTACTACCAAATTAACACTATACAGTCAAGGATGAAACGACATGGTGTTTTCCCTTAAAGTCATTAACCAATGTACCCTAATAACAACAACCCGTTCTTGAGGAGGTACAACGTGAAGTAAAGGAAGAGGATACACAAGACCAATATTTCACCACACAACCACATGTACAGGTAGATAACGCTGATATCTTATCAGCCATTCAGTCTTATATGGTGGATAAGATGTATTATTGGCACCTTCAGCGTTATCTAGATGATTTTCCTTCTCAGTAATTTCTTTGAACTTTCTTAGTATATGCTATGTTATGGATTTTTGATTTCAGTCTCTGAACCATATTTCTGTCTTTGAATTTATGATATTTTATGAATTTTTATTTTCAATTTTTGAATCATATTGCAGCATTTTGTTGAACGTACGTATGTGGTTGGCGTTCTGGAACGACCCGTTTTGAATCTAGAACGTCCCGTTCTGCTGCACTCGTGGTGTGTTAATTTTGCATCTGGAATGGCCCATTATAGATGCAAAATTAACACACGACATGTGCAACCTGAACGGGTCATTCTGGTTTCAGGACGGATCGTTCTGGTTTCAGGACGGATCGTTCTGGTTCTAGGTGCATTCAAGAAATTTGGCATCTATCTATGTATCTACGTGGCATCCACCTGGCATCCACGTGACCAACAGTTAACTCCGTTTAAATAATTTGGACGGAAGTCTAACATTGTAATAATTTAAATTATTAGGGACCAAATTGAAACCAAAAATTAAAGTGGGACTAAATTGAAACAAACAAATATTATAAAGGACCAAATTAGGGTTTTAGCCTTTAATTTTCTTGTTTGATTCAAATGACTTTTAAGATAAAAAATCAAATCAAATTGTATCACAAATACACCTAGCTTATTCTTTTTTATAAGACTCAATTTATTTTGTCATAAATATTAATTATTTTTAGAATAAAATACTTTTAATTGAAGTGTGTTATTTTAATTTAATAAAATACATTAATTATAAATTCATTAAAAAATATATATTCTAATTAGTTAAAAAAAAAGAGATGAATATTAATTTAAAAAATAATATAAAACACATACTCTAATTAATGAAAGATATATAAATATTAATTAAAAAAAGTAGTATGAGGATAACTTTATCAAAAAATATATAAATAAGACATTTATTTTTATGACTAAAATAATTATTTCCAAGAATTTGAAGTTGAGAAAGTTAATTTCACATATTTAATTTATTAATTAAAAATGACATTCCTAAAAAAAATTATTTCTTGATAATATTTTTTAACTGTTTTTTATGAAATCGCTCCCATGAAGGCAGGTGAGAATTTTAATTTCCGAAGTTAAATGATTTGTGTTAGCATTATTTGTATATATGTCTATTTAATGCGATGAAAATCTTACAACTATATTGCACAATTTGAAGCATTTCATCCCCTAATCAGAATGTCGTTTACGAAATGAAAACAGGCTAAATTAATTGACAATTTTTTTCAAAGCAAATGAATAATAGTATTAATTCCTCGGGATAATATTACAAAGGAAAATTCAAGAGTATTCAACCCTCCCATGAAAGGCAATAATAGCCGAGAAAAACAACAAAATATCTGAACTGAAGAACAGCCCGCTATAATATTTGCGGACGGGAGGTGAAGGATGAGTGAGGGTTGATTACTCCAAGTCAAGGAATTCCATTCTTTTCCTCATAGTTCCTTTCAGATCTGAAGCCTCCCTTTCTGCTTTCTGTGCCTGCAAAATCACAGTTGCACTCAAAAATTGAAAATTTTACAACTCTACATAATTCAATTATTGCTTAAATTAAAGCAAATTGCAGGACTACATATATAAAGTAATGGACCCAAATATATATAAAGTAAATGATATATAATGTCATTCTATTTGGGAGACAGCTCTCTTTTACAAAAAGTGTGCCTAGTGTTTTTATGTAGTGGCAGTTTTAGGATGTCAATTTTCAAGTCAGGACTTTTTATTTGAAATTATTTGTTATTTAGAGATTTTATCTTATTTCAGTATATACTAGGTTTATCTTTTTTACTCTTCCCTATATACTTGCTATTAGCTCTTATCAGTTAAACTGCAAACTGTGAAGCAATAATCAGAACTAAGAAACATTACAATACATACAATAGCTAGATACTATCTTATCATTAAGGTTAGTTTCAAAATCAAAGGACAAGGAATATGGCCAGGAAGAGCAGCAGATGGATGGGCTTATCTCAGTTGAGTTATCATGCCGCCACCATAAGACAACTTCAAGGACGTCCTAACTAACTCAATAGGAAAGAATTTGGTAGGCAAAGTTTATACATAAGTAATTATTATAGGCTCGTCTAAATGAGTCCATAGTCTCTGACCACTTTTCTTGCTAATCATTGTATAGTTTGCCATTATTTTCCCAGCCAAGATTACTTACCAAATGATTAACAGGGAACAAAAATACACATTCTGTTTGATTCCCACACGCTTTATATGTTTATGATGTAATGAAGGTTTGTAAAGAAAAGAAGGAAAGCAATGAAATTACAACAATGACAAGTGCCTAGACAATGAATGTCAGGTCACTATAGCATTTACTAAAGTGAGGAAAAATAAGGAGACAGAAAATAGACACAAAGAACATCAATTAAGTAAAGAAACAATTTAAGAATATTTACCCTCTTGATTTCTGCTGTAGAAACACGTGTCATATGTTCAGGAAGTTCCTCCCTCTCCAAGTCCTGAAAGTTAAAAGACAACATGATTGAAAACTAAGATTTTAACAGTAGAAAATAATTTAAGATGCAAAGGGAAATATTTAGTAATCTTACCAGCTCACCAATTAGAACAACATTTTCCCCACGAATCACATAGAGACCCAAAGGTATGTCACAATACAGATCACCAACAATAACCCTCTCACAGGCCCCTTCAAGAACCGCATTAGCTGCATATTATCATGGGAAATTTTAGAATGTCACCCTATAGCATGTCAAAACTTTACATAATTTGAAGACAAGTTGGTACCAAATTGATCAAAAGAGCGAAGTGTCCCCATGAGCTTTCTACCATCTCTCAGTAATACAAGAAGTTTCTCTACAACAAAAAATTAGTGTCAAGCTCTACATAATATGAAATCAGCTTCACCTCCATTGAAAACCCAGATTAATTTACCACACCCAACTGGTTTTCACTGCTTTTGAACAATATCTAGCCCAAAACTCTCACAGAAATTGCTGAATAGGACAAAAGCAATGTAATATCAAAGTTATTCAATTACACAAATTACAATTCAAAAGCAATATCATTTGCATCCATAGTTCAACATAACATGACATATTCTTATGTGTTCTCTTTTGCAGGAGCAACTACAGTTTTCTGGCATTAAGGGGTATGTCAACCATGGACAAACATAGGAGCAGTTTAATACGGGAAATTACAGCAGAATTGAGGAAGAATAACACTTAAAGAGTGAATAACAAATATCCACAAAAACCAAATTGAAGAAAATAAAAGGAAGTCAAACATTTGAATTTGCTCCTGTTGACCATACATGTTGTAAATTTTGGCTCATAGAATTATATCACCTATCAACCATGTCTATATGTTTCCATGTTCCACAGTTCCTCACACACTATAGTTTTTAACTTATTTAAACAAGAGGCTCTGGGATATCAAGCTAATCATATTCCCTATATTACCATTTATAATTTTTACTTTTCATACATTCAGCAGCCAAATGTTATCATTATCACGTCACAATTACATTTAAACAATTTATCACTACTCAGTTCCTTAATGACAATTTGAAATTCAAAGCATGAATTTTTTTTTTTTTGCTTTGGTATACATAGTCTTAAAATATAGGCTTGGGCTTAACTTAAACTCATAAAACCGGTTTGTAAAATGAGATTTGTCGGCCACTGGCCCTTCTCCCTAATTGATGAGAGATGTTCAACTCAATCTTTCCACACCAAGAACAAAACATCTCGAATGTTGCAAGATTGAACAACTATAGGTGGTTTGACAATGATTGTGAGTGGTGTAATAAGTCTAACAATAGTTGCTAGGATAAATTTTGATACCATCTCAGAAAGATGTTTGAGTCTAACTCAAACCTTACAAATCTGATTCTTAAGATGAGGATACCCCATCTTAACAAACATGCACACTAGATATCTACCAGTCAAAACTGTGCCCCTTCCCCTGCCCAACAACATGATTATAACTAAAACGATAGTCAGGCACAGATAACAGCCGAAGAACCTAGAATTCCCGATGAAAATTGAATCACCAGCTTCCATAATGAAAAGAAAAAGCTATGCATACTATCTCAAGTGTGCAATCTTCCTCCAAGTAAAAACCAATATATGAGAGAGAGAGAGAGAGAGAGAGGGCTCACTATCAAGATAGCTGGCTAGTGAAGTCGAGAGGTAAATATCCTCAGGGCCTGCCCAAGACATTGTGTGTTTTCGGTATCTGAAAAATCACCGAAAAATTCCTCACAAACCACACCAATGGCATTACCAGCGCCAATCCAAGTCTCCTGCTTGACCCCCAATCACTTGAATTCCACAACCTCAGGTTTCAGATTGAAATCGCGGAAAGGAAGAAACCCAAGAGATGCAATCGCAGGGGGGGAGTGGAAAGGGTGAGACTTTAGTTTAGGTTTAGGGTTTGGAGATTCAGATTTGGGATAGATCCAGAAGGGAGCTGCAGCTTCTGCCAACCGGGGTTGGTTTGTACGGTCTGTTCAATCAAAACAATACCACATTTCATATTCCTTAATTCATTATTATTATTAAATCATAAGCAAAAATACCTACTAATTATTAAAAATATAACTCACTTTTATATATTAAACACTAATCACTTTAATATTTTTTTAATGAGAGATTTATAAATATTATTTTTATTTTTTATTTAATTTAATTTTTATTTTTATAATTATTGATAAATTAAATATTAATATTTTTAAATTTTATTAATAAAAATATATTTTTACATCTTTATATATTTAAAATAAATTTATTAATGTCTTTAATCCCTATAAAATTAAAAAGTTTTGACTTTAATTCTTGTAAAAAAAATATTTTTATTCATCCTTATCAAATTAAAATTATTGCTTTTAGTTTCTATTTTTATATAATTATTTTTAACTATTTTTATTTATTAAAAATTTAAGTAATCATCTTAAATGTTACTTATAATCGTTACTGATATAATTTTGATATTTAACGCCTCTAAAAAAATTTATATCTTAAAATAAATGTTATTTATTCAATTTAAAATAATCATTAGAGACAGAAAAAATAAGCTTAGATTTTAGAGAGATAAAAATAAAATAAAAAATATTTTATTAGGATCAAAATTAAAATTTATTATTTTATAAGGATCAAAAATAATATTTATAAATTTTATAAAGATGAAAAAGAAAGAAAATTTTTTAGAAGGACCAAAATCAAAATCATCAATTTTATAGAAATTAAAAACATATTTAAACCTTAAAAATATTTATTTACACAAATTTTAAATATAATTTATATATTTAAATTTAATATTTATTTAATGTATAATTTATTATAAATTTTAAATTATATAATAAATATGTATTACATATACTAAAATACTAATGAATTTTATACACAGGATCGAGTCTACAATTAACAATTTATTAGTAATTATTTTTGAGTAATTTAATCATTTAATATGATGGAAATAATATCTTTTTAAAGTTTAATATGCCTCCTTGAAAAAGCTTTTATATCCATCGTTTGACTTTATGATGGGAGGAAGAAATTTAGCTTTTGCGATCGATGATAAAAAAAGTTATACTTTTACATATTATTTTTATATTTTATATGATTTTAATATGTATATATCGGGAGTATATATATATATATATATATATATATATATTAATAATAACTATTATTAATAATTAATAGAGAGATATTTTGTGTCTTTCTATATTTATTTTTTGAAGGATTTTAAAAGAAAATAATTGTAACATAAAAAAATTAAGATTTTTTTTATTATTAAAAAAAGCTAAGATTTAAATACAAGTATGATCATCATAGTCCAATAACATGAAAAACTTGTATGTAAGGAAAGCAACATATAATAAAAATAATTAAGTTAACTATAAAAACAATTTCATCTCAACTATACAACAACAATCATAAAATCAACTATATACACAACTTTAGAACAATTAACACAATATCATCTTCTCAACTTAATAACGCACAACTTAATAACACAGAACAACATAAGTAATCATTCACTCAATTAATTTCTTTACAACTCAACATACAACTTAGCAACTTGATAACATATTATAAAACTCATCAACATATCAACATAGAAACATTGCAACACTACAACTTATCAACACAACAACTTTACAACACAACTTATCAACACATCATATTAACAACACAACAACTTTATGCATTATCATGCATTTCAATTAAGAGATTTCCTACAATACAAGTGAGTAATCTAAGTGGATTGACCCTACCAAAGCAACACAACACAACCTTTTTGACTTGTTAGTCAATATCAAAGTTGGATATCAATTTATTTTCAACAAACCATGATTTCTCGAATTTCACCACTTATACTGCCAGGAATAGAATGTGGAATTAACCCGTTGATGGAAATATGCAAAAGCCAAGGAATCCAAGAAGTGATATATTAAAGGAACCAAGAGGAATGAGATGATTTTGAAGACTCTTTCATATGTTTGTAAATGTAGTAGTTACTTGTATAGGTTTATTTTGCCTTTGTATTTGTGAGGCATTTTGTTTCCTTTTTATAGATCATTGTATAGGGAATTTAGAATAGGTTCTTTGGAGACTTTTACTCCATTTGACCTTGTATTAAAGGTCATTCATTTTTACTTTTTCAGTAGTAGAAGTGGGTAACAAATAACAAGGCTTGAGGGTGTGTTTAACAATTGGGCCAGAATTGGGCATATGCCAAATTTTACATATTGAACTTGTTTTGCTCCATATTTTTTAAGGAATTGATTTAGCTAGGTCTCACCATCATTGGATGAACCTAGCTAAACCAAATTCAAAATCTTTGAAATAAATCAAGTGGAGAAACAAGCCCAAGGCTGCTTAGCTCTCTCATTTGGCTAGATTGTTTCATGAACCTTGGAGCCTTAGGAAGCTTGTTCCACAAGCCTCCTAAACTAGAGTGGACGGTCAAGTTAAGCCAACCATGGTTCACTTGAACCATGGTTAAGCTTAGCTTCCTCCACAAGCTTCCTACTTTTATATATTCCTAAACCTTTCTTTGTAGAAACTTTTGGATGTTAATGAACATAATTTTCACTCAAAATTCTCTCTTCCAAGAGCCAAAACCGTGGAGAAACTCTCTCCCTTAGGAACCTTCACAAAGGACTTTCTCCTTTGTGCCTTGGTTTCTCACTTCTTTTTCTCCTATAAGAAGAACCAAACCACTTGAGTGGCTTCTACAAGCTTTGAGGCTTGTCTTGCTTATGCCATTTTCAACCATTGATGAACCTCCAAGAGCTAGATTGGACAATGGATGGAGCTTGAGGAAGAACAATAACACTTCATCAAGTCACTTCCATCACCCTTCGATTATCCTCAAAATACTAAGCACATTTCCAACAATCAATTAAGGATTATACCCATCGACTTCATACCTTATTCAAATTGATCACTTTTAAACTAATATGGCTCAACCTTACCCCTATACGATATCAACTAAAAGACTGAAAAGAGACTCAACACTCTACTTCTAGAGGCAACAAACTCAAAAGGGGTTTTTCAACAATTAGACTTTCAAAGTACCACAACACATATCCACACAATGACATATTTCAACTTTTAAAATAATACCTCTTCTTTAATCCTAAGTTCACAACATAGTTTAGTAAACATGCTTCAAATAGCTATACAACATAGCCCAACAACATGCATAATGCACCATGCATCTTATCAACACAACACACGAAGAATATGACTTAGAAGTTACAAGTCTAAAAAGAAATCATTGCTTCAAGATCAATTGAACACGCTTTGAGCGAGCCAAATTCTCACTAAGCGCCCAATAGCTCGCTTTGAGCGAGCTTAGATAAAGATTACACCTGGGAGATGCAACTAGCTCGCTTAAACCGAATGATTACATGATTTAAGTGAGTGAAATTTGCTTAGAGCGATCAAATGAGTGTTCTGAGTGAGTCAAGTTAGAGACCACCTCTAAAATGATTGAATAAGCTTACATTTGCGAGCCACCCGACGCTCTAATTGAGCATACACAACAAATACAACATACTTCAAAAACATGATTCATCAACTTAAACAACTCAACTTCTCTCAACAATTTCAATCATTAGTTTATACCAACTTCACATGAAATCTTCAAATCAACATATATACATCACAAATAACTCAGATTCAACAAAATAAGTAATATACAATCACAACATGCAATCACAACATGGACCTAAATCATCAATTCTCCTTCCAACACAAAGAAAACCCCAAAAACATATTCCTTAGGGTTCTACCCTTCAACTTTCATCATAAATCATGATTCGAGCATGGATCCAACACAACAATTCAACATATTCATCTTAGAAAATCAAACTACAAGTACTACAAGAAAAATCAGGATTATCTATGGAAGAAATCGGTAGATAAGCATGAAAATCCGTAGATAAGTCTTAATTATCTACAGATTATCTAAAACCAAAAATTCATAGGTAATAAGGTCATAGATAACGTTACCTACGAAAAATATTTACCAAATATTCTTAACATCACTTAGAGCATATTTTTTTTTGCCTTGCATCGTTATCTACAAATAATCCGTAGATAACCCACGAAAGTTGTTATCTACGGATAATTTTTCGTAGATAACCCACAAAAGTCGTTATTTATGAATTTTATCCGTAGATAACATTATCTACGGAAATTTTTTTGTAGATAACCCACGAAAGTTGTTATCTACAGATTTTATCCGTAGATAACCTTTGAAAATTTTTTGTTTAATTTTAATAAATTTATTAATGTAACAACTCTCATATTTGGTCTCTCAATGATGCTATTTCCGTAGATAATATTTCGTAGATAACTAAACATTATCTACAAAAAAAATTTCATAGGTAATATTCCCTAGATAACTAAACATTATCTACAGAAAAAATTTCGTAGGTAATATTCTATAGATAACTAAAAATTATATACAGAAAAAATTTCGTAGGTAATATTTCGTAGATAATAACAGTTTTTCTTGTAGTGAAGCTTCTCGTATCTTGAATCCTCACAAAGGGAGGAAAAAAGAATGGCAAAGACCGAGACTTCTCGAGCCTTCATCATACGACAACCTCAATTTCTAATTCTCAATTCCTAAACTTCAAATCTCAAGTCAGCTACTCCAATCTTTGTTCCATGAAAGAATTAGAACACTTCTATGAAGTAAGAAGAAATAAAGGTCTCTTTCGACTTGAGAGTCCATCTTCCTAAAATTTATCTCTAGAAAGTTTGAAAAATAAACTTATTAAGTTTAAGTTCTTAAAAAATCTTATATATCTTTTCCAAAACTTTGTCAATTTTAATCTTAAGATAAAACAACCTCAAACAACTAAACTCATAAGAATTCATAAATTTTTAGAGTTTTAAAAATCAAAATATGTCATTATAATTCATTTAAATAAAAAAATCACAACACAATGTTACATTATATATAATACTTTGAGAGTTAGTGTAATGTATATGAAGTATCAGTGTAATGTTTTAAAATTAATTAAGGAGATAAAGATTACAAATTAAGGAATATTGAGAAAAAAATTGATAAAACTTTAAAGAAAGTTAATGTAATTTACTCAAGTAAATTACATATAGTTAGATGGTAATATAAAATATTTTCTTACTTTTAATACATGTGTTATTTATTATTTTTATATCTTGTGTTCAAGCATAACTTTTAGATTACATTTCTATATACTCTCATGATCATTTTATTTATTAATTTTCTTATTTATTAAAATATTAAAATTATTTTGTATTTTAAAATATTAAACATATTAATTTTATTTAAAATATTGTTTATAAATATTAAAAAAATAATAAGTTATGTAAAAAAATATAATATGCAATACCTTATTAAATTTGAGTTTCTGACATTTAATCGTTTATTAATAATTTTTTACATGTAAACTATTTTTTTTTGTCAAAAGTTGTGTCTATCTATTGTGCTATGAATGTTAGGAAATATTTTTTATACAATAAAAATGGAACATTGTTTGTTATTGTTATAATTTTAAAAAATATTTTTGAAATTAAGAATATGATAAAAAATTAAGTAAAATAAATGATTAAAGTATACTCAATATCATAAACGATCGACGCCAATTATTTGATATTCGGAAATGTTACTTAAACCAGAAAAAAGTTTAACTAAAATATCATAAATTTAAGTTTTAAAGCTTTTTATTAAAATTTACAAATTGACCAAATTATAATAAATAAATAATAAAATGATTTTGTTTGTGGTCAATGTTGAAAAATATGTCAGAGCGTTCATATTTTTTTTAATCTATTATTGGTTTTTCTTTTAGACAATCAGTTATTTGTTTTAATCTATCATTTTCATTTTTTTCTAAATTAATTTTAATTATATGGTTCACATTCTAATAGTAACCTTCTTATATAGGCACCATCCCGATCCCTGTTCAGAGGTGCCTGGCATTAGCCCATAGATTTCGAGGGCCCAAAAAAAGTTTGCTTTGATATATATTTTAAAAAGCTCACGATATTGCTTCGATATATATTTTTAAAAGCTCATGATATATTAACTTTTGATACGTGAAATATTTTTATATTCCTAAGAATCTTAATGAAAGTGTTAGGTGTATTATTAATGTAGAAACTAGGAAGATATATATCTTAATGCTTTAAAAAAAAATTCATTTGATGCTTACATAATTCACCACTTATTCACAATTTTAGCTTTTCGCCTTCTATAGTTTTGTAACAAAGAAAATATTTTATGATGAGGGGTCCTTTATCTACTTTTTATTAAAACATATAATTTTTTATATTTAAAAATTAAATATTTACTTTTTTATTAAAATAGTTACTTAAATTTTAAAATATTTATATATAACGAAGCATTTGTCTATCATTTTGACCTGAGCCCATACAATGTCGGAAGTAGTCCTTGCAAACTAGAAACTAGAAAGTGCATACCAACAATTATAAATGGGAATGAACAATACAAAAGAAAAATATAATGCAAAAGTTGTAACCGTGTCTTCAAAATACATTGAGGATACCCGAAACACTTCATGTGATGCCAAATAATCTCAAATGTGGGAATATTTTTTTTAATTTTTATTCTGATGGTATTTAGAAAAGATTACAGATAATTTATTTGAGTTTATAGAAATAAACTACTTATATAATTTTTTTAACTTTTTTCAATTAAATTATTGATGTACTTTATTAAAAATAAATTATTTTTAACATTTGAACCTTTTTTTTCTCGTAACTCTCTTTTTAATATTTTTTATGTTATTGATTGAAATTTATTAGAAATTACAAATTTTGTATCTTACATTTCACTTAATAAATCTTTCTTGATTTAGTAGAAAAATCTATCAAAATTTATAATTGTCAACTGATAGTACTCGTTACAAATTTGAACGAAAAAGATCGAAATTGTTGCATCTACTAGGTTTTTTGGAAAGTATGAAACCATCAGTTTTTTATAATGCAAAGAGTTACTAAACACATCCCTTATAACAATGGAAGAACAGCTAATCTAACTGTAAAAAGTATTATTCATTAATCCCAACATGTTACAAAGAGAATAGGTGACAAAGTGGAGTAAAAAAAGGGATGAGAAGTGTGTACAGCGTACAAAATGTCTAGCTTTGACATTACAGATCACAAATCCATTCTATGATTTTCCACAACATGAGTTGTTCCACGTTCGCAGACACAACCATGAAAAAATAACTGCCTCTGCACTATGCACCACTCATTTCTTGGTACATATCACAGATAAACTTCATTTAAAAAATTTTAGAGAGCTCCACTTCCTAGTCTCTACCCTTCATCATCATGTACATATGTCTTCAACTTCTTGCTTCAGTCTGAGGGGAAAATATAAATTGTCAATTACTCACTTTGCAACTTTAAGTGTTATGAAATTGATATAGTACTACTTATATATGGATTTAATAATGATTACCTCAACTGCTACTAATAGAGCTGATAAAAATAAGAGGCAAGTTTATATCTCTAGAACAATATCTGCAAGAGAAAAAATGGTATATTATTAATCATAGCTACTTAAGTCAGTGATTTTTATTTCTACCACGTTGTTCATTAAGATGTGGCATATGTCAAAAATGCAACTTACATTCAGAATCAGTCTTGACCCATTTGCAGCCATCACCACTTCTCTCATCTGATTCATCTTCACTCCTGTTCCTTGTACTCTTCTTGTCCTCTAAGCACTTCTTCATCAATGATGCCCGAGAAGAATTTTGGGTGTAAATTTTCTTGTGAAGCATTGTCCTCAACAGCTGTATATTAACATCACTGGTCAGTAAAAACTAGCCCACAGAAATTGGAATAACACCTAGTCCGGAGAAATTGTTGCATGATCTATGATCACTACGAATTCATGGTCCTAGTCAAATTTTGATGGAATTTTATTAACTCTTTCTTGTAAATTGAAGAACTCGACCAATATCACGTAGAGATTGACTGATAGCATGAACACGTGTAGTTCTAGACCATATAATAATTTTTCTACCTAGTTAGGCAAAAGAAAGATTATCAGCAAAACAAAGGGGTACCTTCTCCATTCTTGATTCTTGAAGGGTATCTATAAGGCTAGGTGCAGGAGCAAATCCACTCCTACAAACAAATATCTTCTTCAGTAGGAAAGAAATAGATTTCTTTCCAATGGCTTTCTTTCTGTTATCTGCACAAATGTCTTTGCATTTATCAAGTATGACACTGAGTGTCTTCTCAATATCTTCTTCTTTATCTTCTGATTCACTGCATAGAGCATTGCTGATTCTCCTATCAACCTCCAAGCTTGAAGGGCAGTTAAGAAACCTGTCCAGAGGAAGCTCAGAAATTTCCTTTTCCACATTCGGTTTTCGTCTAAGAAGTTTAGTTAACTCCTTCTGCAGGTTCCCAATTTCTTCAGGAGTGAAGTCTGCTATTTCCTCTGATGAAGATAGATCCTCTTGTGTGTTTTGGTCATCCAAGTTTTCTTTGATTTCACTGTTATTTCCAAATGTTCCTATTGCTAGTAAACCATGAGGCCAATCGCTGAATTCTTCTCGAGGCTCTTGTTTTGCATGATCTGTGCTCACAACCAAAGGAAAAAACATTATTATAAGATTCCCAAGGAAAGGATTAATGTTATTCAACTGAAAGTCTACAAATAACCTTAGTATATTAAGTTTACGTTGGATCAAGTTCAAGTACCAGAATGTCAAATTGTTAGCAGAGGGCGGGCGGGGGGTGGGGGAGGGGGTTTGTATATCAATCAAAACTTTGATTAAAAAAATATAAATTGAATCTTTTTAAGTTTTAACATTAAAAAACTACCAAGTTATTATTCAATATTAAAGATATATATAATTGTTAAATATAAAAATGCCAATTTAACATTTTTGAAGTTCTTAATATTCCTACATACCAGCACCTTTGATATAAATAAAGTTGTTTTTCGTGTAGTTTTTATTTGATTGGAAACTAAGAAAAAGAAAATGAAATTTGAGAGAGAGAGAGAGAGAAATATGTAAATATTGAACATATAAACATGTCTTCTCTCTGTCTTTCTCTATATGTTTCGAATTAAGTCACCCTTCCTTCAGAGAGAAGTAAGTGTATCAGACAATGAGTAATCTTCCATCATCCTATTGGTGCTAGAAATTGACATCATGCATTAACACACGAAAAAAATAATTAACTGAATATTATAAAGACTTACATGTAGTAGTAGTTGAATGTGTATTTGGTTTTCTGTTGTCTTGTTTTCCACCCAATTTATTTTGCATCCAGCTGAGGAACTGCAAGTGAAAAAAACATACCAATTATATTACTGCAACACTTTTCTAACACTAAATAAAGATAACAATCTCACACACCGGCAACACAATGAGAAGACTTACCTTCATTGTGGGAGGACTAAGGCTAAGGCTAAGGTTAAGGGGGAATGAATGAGCTTAGATTGTGTAAGCTGAAGGTACAAGCTAGGTAGCAATAAATATATAAGTGAGGAGAAAAGGTGGTAATGATGGTTGGATGATACTGACAATGAGAGAGAGAGAAAGGTGCCAGGTGTGTTAATGGTAATGGAGGTACTTTTAACTAGAAACTAGTAAAGTTCCTTGAGAGCAGATCTTGAAAACCAATGAGGATTGAGCATTGGGATTAATAAACTAGGATGAGATTTTGATGAATTTCATGGCCTAATTGAGGGTACCCTCATTTTTCTTTTGTATCAAGTTCTGTCTTACCATTACTTCTTTCCAGTGTGTTTCTCTATTTTTGACCAAATACTTCCCCTCATTTGTTCATTCCATTGTTATTATTTTATACACTTATCTCTCCCGTTTTATATTTATAGCATATAAGACATTCTCTCACATTTTCTCATTTTTACTTCGTAATTCGTTTGAGTTCTCTTCCTTCATAAACAACACATGGTTGAGAAGTTTTTTGCCGGTTATTACTCTGACTAGGATATTGCGCGTCACGGCTTTAACCACAAGATTATAGAATTGCTGATCTTTATGGGATTGTGAGAAAGACGGAGCTAATCTCTACACAACTTTAGTAGATTCATGAAGCACACTATCAAAAGATCATTTAAATGCTTAAGCATATTATGTAATTTGTGATGGGGAAACCAACACAATAACAACTAAACGAGAAAGAGTAATACGGTAACAGAAATTAAATCCCTTACTTATAAGAATATGTAAGGAGTACCAACAAAATAGAGCAAAAATAGATAAGTCAAATGTATAAGAAACAAATATTTTTAACGTAGGAAAACTCTTAATGTAAGGGTAAAAATTATGAATTGTCTATATAAAAGAAAATCTCCTCTATAATTAACAAGGATACAAGAGAATCCCCATAAAATGTACCAAACAGTACTTATAATCGGTCAAAGAAAAATCGAACATAATTGCTTCCAATTGAAAAATAAGAAGATGAAAAATCTCAAAATAGAGTTGGTATTATAAGATGTTTTTTTCTACTCTAGACTTACTTTCAATGATCCAACAAATGAATATGAAATGTCGTGTTGTATGAACTTAGTGTCCAAAAATCAGTCTAAGCTAATGATAAACGAATCTTTAATTGCAATTCAATAAATGTTGCCTAGTAAATATGCAACCTGTAACTTTCTTTCTTTTCTTCTCTCTGTATTTTGCTGTTATTTATTCAAATTGAGTCACTCTCTCTATTTTAATGTGACATTTCTCTACTTGATTAAGTGAGACATAATGAACTTACACAATTTAAATCTACTCTTCACATAAGAAAGGAGTCCAAAATTCAATAATTTGCTGGTGTGCAATGCATTCATTTAATGGAGAACAAAAGAAGCATAAGATCTTAATGGATTAAAATTTAAAAGCAAGGTTTTAGCATCATCTGAAATACTATGCATATGAATCTTCAATCTTATTATGGCGTTTGAAAAGACCAAAGAAACATATATATCAATATCAGCAAAATATACATGGAATTCCTAACTCAGCCAATATCACCACAATTATTAAGGTTTCTTATAAGTTCCACTAGACTATAATATTACTAAATTTTCGTACCATGAAGCTACAATTGCGCAAATAGTCTTGGTCATGTCGATCTGGTTTCGTATCACAAATGTACTAGCAACCATATATTAATATGGTGGAATAAAATTTGTGGCGGAGGCACATCCTGATATTTTTCCCTAGCTATTAGATATTTTGCTAACTTGACATGCAAAGGGCATGTGTCTTGGAACTTGAAAGGCCAACCTAGTTTGAAGAGTGTGTCTAAGAGGAATGAACAATTTTGTTTAGCAATTCACTATTGTGTTTTGTAATTAGCTGGGATAAAAACAAAGGGAAAAAGACTATATCTTAGTTTTGTTGAAGAAATAAGTGTAGAAACTTGTGGCATGCACACATGGACTAATCTTAGTGCAAACGAGGCATGGGCAGCCAAGAAAAACAACTCAGAGAAACCAACACTTGCATGGGAATGTCTCACACTTACCAGACCAATTCCTGAGTTTCACCTGCCCCAATTAACTTGTGCTAGCTAGAGCCCTCGATCGTAAACTAGTGCTTTTAGCTTTAGCACATTGAATGCAATACTAGAATTACAAGATTGGAAGTAATGTACAACATCGATGGTTCCAAAGTTATGACCTGTGTCACATATGTGAAAAGTGCTATGATATTCCTTTAGACAATCACAGTATAATGACACCTTGTCCATGTTAGCTAGGACTAGATCACTGGTTCCTTTTTTAGTTTGATGTATCTATCTGCTGTTTTTGCTAGCTCCTGTTTTTTTTCTTATGGTTCTTGCTTAAAACTTGGATCCTCTTTTATGTTAGCTCAAGATCTTGTGGCATAGTATGTTTGTTCGAATTAATTCTAGAAGAAGTTAACGGAAAATTTTGGAAGAATTAATTCTCTGTCTTAATTGCAAAATATACTATTTTGGAATCTCCAAAATATCCAAACCCACGTCATTAATGTGCAAATGAATTTTGACTTGTTAAACAAATTAACACACTCACTACAACATGTCTAATTTTATATGAAAGTAATATTATATTTATTACAGTTTTTTACAACTTTCTTTTTATTTTTGCCATCAAACTAGCACACTCATGTAATTATTTTCTTTCTATCTCTTTCCTTTATTATACAAAATATGATATAAAATTTTGATGTGTAGACAGCATCATCCTTTGTACACACGTTTTAACTTTAGTTACTAGGAAAAAACCTTTTTGTTGAACTTAAACAGGAAAACTGCCAAATATTATTAACGACAGAGTGAAAGTATCCTAAAATCTTGATAAGACTAGCATTTGACAGTGTCTTCATAACAGCACACATAGCACGGATTGTTTTTCATTTATTTTTAGAGCAATCCATAATTATGTGTTTTTAAAAGTTTTCACAAATCTTTAATACAAATAAAATAAATACCAGAAAATAGCTGACTGAGTCATTAATTAGTAATTACTAACCTTAACATTTTCAGGTTATTAGTTGTTATTAATAGAAAGTATCCATTTCAGAAAAATAAGATAAAATGCCTAGTTTATGTGTTTGTTAATTTTAGGTTGGAAATTAGGAAGGACATGCAGAGCAATGGCACCACCCTGGCATTGCGGCAGATTGCAAGTGAACGCTATTCCCATCAGCTTGTGTCGGATGAACGCGTGTAATGTTGATTAATTACTTGTATACTTTCTCTTTCCTCGTATCATTCTATATACATATATATTCTCTTCTTTAAACAATTATTTTACTTTGTCCCATTTTCTCAAACTAAATAGTGAACGCATTAATCCTAATGCACAAGTAAATTTCATTCATTTATTTTATCTCATTAAATACAACTTTTGCTAAAAAATGAAACTAACAAACGTGCTATTTTTTTTTAATGTTGTTATCATTTTCTTTCATAGATATTTGTAGGAGTATGATCAGTAGCTCACACTATAAAATAGAAAAAGTAATTTTTGGTGATAAAAATAATTAAGAATAGCGTTTATCTACATGATTATAAATAATTTTAAAATGTATAAATATTTTTTTTATGGACAGCGATAACAATGTATGAAATTAAAACTAAAATTACGTGAAAAATACCAAAATTACTAGATATAGGAATATGAATCTCGTAAAAAAAAAAACATGAATATAGGACTCTAGTCCATTTAACATCATGGCTATGGGTGAGAAAGTAGGTCGTAGTCCGAGGATATTTGGCGAAGTAAGATGATATTTTAGTTTACATAGAGTGTTCCACTTAATCCATTAGTCTGTTAGGTCAAATGGTAAGTTGAAATAGGTTGGTTTTCCAACTAGTTTAGTTAAATATTTTTTAGAATAAATCATACTCCAATCTCCAAAGATATGAATATTATATTGCGTAATGATAGGTTTACACACTTACTATAGTTTAGTGACTCACTAACAAAAAATATAAATGTCGTCTAATCTATGATTATTATGAAAGTAATACTTAGATATTCATACAACATTATATAGTATAGGATAAACAACTTAAAGTATAAAGTCTCTCAGTGAAATTACAACTTGATCATGTACATATATAAATACAAATATTATAACTACACAACAAAAAATTCTAAGTTATCGATCAAACAATACCTAATTATATCAGAACAACCTCCAACAAAACACTACCATCACTAACATGGCACCACATCTTACTCGCTCTCTAGCCTAATCCTTCTCTATTGTCATAATAATATGATCATTGTAGTTCAACAACATGAAAAAATAATGGTAAGCTTGTATGCAAAGAAAACAACATATAATATAGAAGCCACCAACTAACTATATAAATGAATTTCCAACAATAACCACAACACCATCTACACACTCAACTTAACAACGCATAACAAAATAAGTAATCATTCACTCAATTAACTTTTGTACAACTCAACATTACAACTTAACAACTTGATAATATTCTATACAACTCATCAACATATCAATACGACAACATAAAAATAGAACAATTTATCAACACAACATCTTGACAATATAACTTTATGTGTTATCACACATTTCAACTAAGATACCTTTTATAACACATGTGAACAATCTAAGTGACTTGACTCTACCGAATCACAACTTAGCAAGACTTATTACCTTAAGGTTAGACCTCACATATTTAGTTCATACAACACAACATTGGTTTATCAGATTTTTTCACTTAGACTAGGAAACTTCAATACTAGTCGTCAAGTATAGCATAGCTTGAGTGTGGGTCTAATAACTATCCCTCTCGATATCACACACCCTTTTAGTAACCAATTAAGGGTTTTACCTCTTAACTTCATACCTTACTCAATTTGGTCACTTCTAAACCAATATGACTTGACCTTTCCCTATATGATATCGACTAAGGACTTGGAGGAGACATAACACTTCACTTAAAGAGT